TATTTGGATGTCTAATAGTTGGTGTTGAGGTTTTTGTGTCTTTATTAGTTTCCATCTTGCGCGAACTTTTGCAACAACAGGATTATGATCGGAATTGATGTCAGTTCCAGGATATGTTTTTGCACTGATGATTGCATTGTGATATCTTTTGTTGACCAATACGTAATCTATTTGGTTACGGATTACTCTGTTTTCATTGTGTTGTGGTGAAGTCCATGTGTACAATCTGCGAGGGTGTAATTTAAACCATGTATTTGTCACTACCATGTTGTGTTGTTGGCAGAATTCGGTCATTCTCTCTCCCCTGTCGTTCCTTGCTCCAAGTCCGAAGTTTCCGATCAATCCAGAAACTTTTCCTCTACCTAACTTGGCATTAAAATCACCTAAGATAAATGTTAGGTCTCGTTTTTTGGTCATCTTTATTAGTTTTTCTACGTCAGCATACCACGCTTCTAGCTCTTCTATGGGTTTATCGGCCGTAGGGGCAGAAGTTTGAATGATGTTAATATTTACTGGCTTTCCGGATAGTTGAATAATAAGACATCGGTCCGAAAATGGCACAAAGTTTGTGACGGCATGGTTATATTTGTCTTCTAAAATTACTCCAACCCCGTTACGATGAGCCGGATCGTTATTACCCGAGTAATAGAAAGTTTTGTTCATGGTTTTAACTTTACCTGAACCTGGCCATTTAACTTCACTTAAACCCAATATCTGCAACCCTAAACGTTTCATTTCGTGGCATGCATTTGCTAGTTTTCCTGTTTCGAACAGACTTCTAACGTTCCATGTTGCAATCTTAAAGTTTGTATTTAAAATATTTAGGCTATTCCTCCCGGGATTCTTCGCACCCCTTGATCATCTAAGATCTGCCGGGGACTAGGGGCCAATTCTGTTTGTGCTTTCATTGTAGTTTTCTTGGGAAATATATACCAGAGTGGTTTCCCGTTGCCTTCTCTGGTTTGTATTTTAGCCGATCCTCTGGACACAGACGCTATTTGCAGCCGCCCACTCTGGGTCAGACGCTGCGTGCTAGTTTGATCCCTACCACTTACCAGCTCATCCGCCCGAAGCCGTTGGACAGCAAGTGGGAGATCGCTTATACCGGCAATTGCTCGGTAAATATTTTCGCCATATCTGGCTACCCTCACTTAGTTTAGCCTGCAGACCAATGCAGTTGCCCGGGGTGTGGCACGTGGAGCCATAAGTGAGAGTTAGTTGTCTTATGAGGACCAGTTAGCAAGAACCATCTCCCGTCTATGACGCTCGATGTGGTCGTTCCGATAAAAGGTGCTACCTCTATAACACAACTCTACACCCCAAAAAGTTCTTTTAATCTATGAAAATTGCTTACGGCTGAGTCACTTTCCATTTTTCCAGCAGATCATTCGTGGTTAGCTGAACATTCAGATTTATGTTCATCGTACCACATAGCAAAGTCTGCCCCACTAAACTGAGATTTATGTATATTACACGCTTGACAATATGACGATTTAACGTCCACATCCAAAATTTTGCCTGTAAGTTTTCCTGTAATTGAAAAAACACCCATTAACGATGTAAAACCTCTCTTAGCCCAAGTACCGTCGCCTGATACAGTCAAAACGTCAGCTTCATTGCCAGCCTCCTCATTTAATTGTATTTCTTCTTCGACTGCTTTTTTAGTAACAAAATCGAAATATTGTTTTCAAGCTTTATGTATTCTTGAAATTGTAGAATAATAAAGCGTTTCCGATAATGTTGCAGGAATATCCATCAAACTCAAAAATATTATCACGCCATTATACCCTACACCGAGAATTCTCAAGACAAATGAGTCTCTGATTTATTTCGTACAAATTTCGAGATATACATGGGGAAGATTCAATAAATTTTCTACCACACGAACATTAGTGTGTAGTGAAAACTGGCTCGAAAAAAATATCCCTAAATCAATTGACCTATATGTGGAAAAGTTGCCTAATATAATGGTCTATTCTAGAAAAAAAGTGACCTAAAATATTGCCATCTTCTACTGCCCATTTAACTGTCAAATTAAAAAAAATAAAGATAAATATTTTTTACTGCCGTGATGCAGCTCTTCGCTTATTTCCATAAAAAAATAGTAATTTTTGACGGAAATAACCCAGAACTCACCGCGTGGAGGTAGCTGGATATCGAGTTCCACCGCCCTCCCACCCTTATTTGTACTTTTGTGATTAATTTTCATTAAAAACTTGAAGGTATTGACTTTTTGTCTCGAATACTGGCAAACTAGCTCTAGAAGCAATTCGTGCCCTTATAAATCCATCCCTTGCTGTATTTCCACATACAGCAACTGACGCTTCTGTTACTAATTTGATGCACCTTTCCACTGCTTGCGTGTGGCATGGATATTTTAGAATTTCAATTTCAGCTGGAATATCTAAAATCATTTCTTCTAATTCTTCATTGGAAATACATTTTGTCAGGGGAGGTTCTGTTATTGTTGTCGACTGCCAGTCAATCATATCGATGTAGTCTTCAGCACAAAAATTTAAAGATGGCAATTTGAATTCCCGAATTTCTTGTTGATTTGCTGTTTTCCTACACTTCAATAATCTTCTAAGTCCTAATTCTCTCACTGTTTTGCGACTATCAGCCAACATAGCCAATAATACATTTTCAGGATGACCGAAATAGCCATTTCTTTGAATTACTGGGTCTGTGATTTTTCTCCAATCTTCTGGTAAAAATATTGATTTTTCAATCATACCAAATAGATGCTGGGTCCCGTGTCGATATGATGGTTGCATTTTGATTGCAAACCATGTGGTGGCATATACTTTCATGGCATATTCTGTTAGAATAGTTAGATTTTGTGATGGTTTCGCTGTGGAGACATATAATCGTAAAATCCGGTTTGCGGTCGTAAGCCATCTGGAATGAGCCATTTTCCCGGGGTTCCTTTTCGACAAGTTCAAAGAGATGTTACCTTATATATATATGGCAATATATATTGCCATATATATTGCCTTCAAAATTTCATCAGCCTCCGGTACACTACACAAATCTTATGATGATTACTCTGTTCTAAAATGCCATTTTTACAAAGAGTATTATTACCTTGACCGGTCTTAAAACATTACACAAGAATAATTGGCTCTTGATTCAGAGACCCCAAACGTTTTAATAGTTTGAATGTCTCTTCTTCACTCCCTAACAATTAACAATCTCCGCTCTCTTCAAGTCATTCTTCAAACCTGATTCAATTCTCACCTCAATCTAATACCGGCGATGGCTACTTTTCCCTTTACCTCTCGACACTCGTTCCTCCCTACGAACTGATACAAACATCCTTTTTTCAACCGGAATATTGGGCAACTCGGTTGTAAACACAGACAAAAACATCTATATTAAAGTGGGTGGAAATAACACGTATTATATTGATTATTTTAACGTCCTAGTTAAAAAAATAAAAAGCAATTTTTAAACGCATACATAAACTAGTTATTGTTACTTTGGCTGCGTACAACGAGATAAACAACTCAGGGGCGTACTACAAAGTAAAATAAAGTACAAAACAGAATTTATATTATTATATAGATATTAATTATTATAGACACAAATTTAAAACGCTACACCATGAATGGAAAACAATACGTGAAATTTCCAGTGAATTGACTAGCAACAACTACTGTGTTTAATATAATTAAAAAATATGGTGAAACTGCCAGTATTGATGTTTGCGGCAAAAGCTCAGGCCATCCAAAAGCTGTTTCTCAAAGGAGTGTTGACATTTAATTAGAATACGTATGTCGGGAAGAAGAAATACACTACAAGAAGTAACTGCTAACAGGAATAGAGAAACTGCGATAAATGTTTACAGATAATCCTATCCCAAATATATCCACAAAAGCGGTCTTAGTTTTTATAAGGTATGTTTGATAGGTTCTTCTTTGCAATATAAATTTTTTATTTTTTGATTTATTCGAGTTGGCCAAAGAAAAAACATTGCTGACGGAAACTCAAAAAACTACATTTGGGCTAAATCAAAACTTTCGTGGACCAAACATAACTGGGACAAAGTTATCTATAGCGACGAAAGCAAATTTGATGTCTGGTAGGAGATTATCGAAAGCGTGTGATTCGGGAAAAACTGTGATTCGAGAAGCATTCCGTAAGGATTTTCTCAAAAGAACTGTTAAGTTTCCACAGCACATCATGGTGTGGGGTTGTATGTCGGCCAAAGGGTTGGGAACTTTACATTTTATTGAAGTCATAGTAAACGCAGCTCAAGATATCCTTGAATATTCGTTTGTACCAAGTGCGGCAAAGTTATATCCATCCGGAGATTTTATCTTTCAGCAGGACGGAGCCTCGTACCATATGGCTAAATCTATCAAAAAATGGATAGGATAACATGTCATTAAAGTTTTGTCACATCCTTCTAGCAGACCGGAGCTTAATTCAATATAGACACTAGCACAAAATGAAACAACACCACAAGAACTAACCCCCAGCCTACTTTGTCACAACTACGTGCTAAATTATAAGAAATATGGGATAGTTTCACCCCTCAATTCTGTGAAGAGCTAGTTGATACAATATTTAATCTTTAATCAATTTTAAATTAGAGTTCAGGCTGTTATTCACGCTATCAATCAAATAATTAAATAGAAATCAACATAAGATATATAATTAAACTGTAAAAATAATTCCATACATCGTAAAAATGTTGTTAATTTCATATCTACAATTTAAACAAATTAAAACAAAGGAAAAAGTGTGTTGTTAATTTCATTTTTTTATGGCTTTGAATTTTGACGTTTTTTTTTGTGAATTTGGATGAGATTGGCTATGGGGTTTCCAGAAGAATGTGGAACTAATATTATATTTTTAATTTGTTTTGGGCTAGTTGTGTACCTTTTTTTGTATTGTAGCAGGGTTTATTATTCTAAGTGAAAAATAAGATATATTTGAGTATTTAAAAAATTTACATGCACTCCACATTTTTGACCAATTGTCACATTTTATTGCAGGTGGTTGTAGTAACTGGTAAACACAACAACATACGACGACCAGAAACACCTAGTGGTTCATCTGCTAATGCGTCTCCAAAATCCAATGGTGCAAAACGCCAACGGCGTACTCGGGTGCCGGACAAACCTAATTATCCCTTAATTTGTGGAGTATTATGAAAAATTGTATAGGAAAGGACCTTTCAAAGATACCTATGCCTGTTAATTTTAATGAACCACTTTCTATGATGCAGCGCATAACAGAAGACCTTGAATATGCTGATGTTCTGGATGTAGCTGCAAAGTAAGTATCTTTTAATATATACTAAAATCTTTACACAGTTACTCCAAGTTCTGGCCTAGGAAGATTTTATAGATATATCTGTTCAGTATATTTTTACTTTTAATTTGTAATACACCTGACAACATTGTACTGGCAACGGCGCCATAAGTCGAGGTGTATAGCAGTTGCCTTAGTGGGCTCAAGTATATAGAACAATAAATATTATATCGATCAATAAATTGGTGTTTCCATTAAACATTTTAAAGAAAAACAAATTTTAATTTTTTCTATTCGTAAGTACCCTCTACCTACGACAATTAAAACTAAATGCAATTATTTTACAGTAGATGTAAATTAATGCATCCACACTCTTTCTAATGACACTAATTTCGTTAAAATCGGTTGATCCAAACCAAAGTTATAGGTATTTATCCACAAATAGTTTCCCACTCTCCCCCACTCTTTATTTAAAAAAATTAAAAAACGTACTTGAACAACTTTGAGCAAAATTTGGGCCTCTTTCTAGTTTACTTATTTAACACTTGGTATAATTGGACATATTTTCCAAAAATTGGTTTTCAAAGTTCTTCACAAGTTACGCCCTCTAGCGGTTAACCCAGAAACTTGAAAGTTATTTCCAGCGAATTTTTTCTCCTAAAGTTATAACATGAATAGTTTCTGATATATAGCCGAGAGATCGGCTTATTGGACCACCCGGTTCGTAGACTAGATTACTAGTTCGAACTGGTAATAATAATGCTTATTGTATTTAATGGCACTTTATTTTACGTTGCACTTTAGTTACCAAATATTGTTGTTTACAAAAGGATTTAACTAACATTAAATAAATAATTATTTATTATTCTGCTGTATACGAAGGTAAGGTGTACGTAGAGCGCGTGTAAGAACTATCCTACTTGAGGATCGAGTACAAAGTATGAGAGAGGAGTCGTAAATGTGAACTGTTTGGCACTAGGGCCGAGCACGAAATGTGAGACAAGAGTTTGGTGTATAACTAGTGTCCGACAGTAGCACCGGGAAAGAAGTCTAAGAGTGTAACTACTGTCACGTTGGCACAATGGAAGAGAATGAAGTCTTAAATGTGTAACTAGTGTTTGCATTAGGATTGATACAAAAGTCTTGAATGTGACTACTGTTTGGCACGATGGCCGAGCACGAATTCTCTGAATACCCCTTTGATTCAACCTTTTATAGGGAAAAACAACCGCCAATTTTTAACGGTTGTAACGTTGTTAACGAACTTTACATGTCCCAAACGGTGGGATGCATAAAAAAGCCACTTTTTTATACATTACGAAGAAACTGTTTAAAAAAATATAAAACTATAAATTTATTTCCCTTTTACGAGTTCCGATAACGAACAAATATAGTTGACCCAGTTCTAGGTAGACAACAAACTTGTTTTGAAGAAGAAGAGGAGAATTGGCGGTAAAATAATATCTAAGTGTGTTTGGATATTAAAATAAGCAACCTGTTTTATTTGAATTGAGATATATCGAAAATAAGTAAAGTATATTTTCATGTTTTCTTAATAATTGTAACACAATAATAAGGGATTATTAGGGATATGTTCAAATTTTAACATAACTCCCCCCCACGTTGAGAGGAAATAATATGTGGGAGTCAAGGGAGATTAGAGGAAGTTATTAAAAAAAAAAAATAAGAAAAAAGACGATGTAGGTGACATCGAAGAATTATAATTTGTCAGGAGATAAGGTTGAAAGTACATTTTATGATTCCAAGCGTGTGGCATTGGCTAGAGTCGATGAATAAATAATTATGGGACATAATATTTTAGAATATGAACAAACTTGTGAAAGAGATTAAAGAATTTCTTTTTCCTTGAGATTTGTATGAGTGCGGTGGTGATAAAAGATAAAATTTCTTTTAGAAGTGTTTAGGGGTATCAAATTATGTTATGTGTCGTACCATCGGAGCGTACCAAATTATGTCGTGAGTTTCAAGTCCTTCTTTGAGCAAAATTCGTAGACGTTTCATCACATATGAAAATCTAGAATTGTATTAGCGTTAAGGTCATAAATGAGCGATGAAATGTATTTTACTTAAAATAAATTCGAAGTCCGGTCCTGCTTTTGTTAAGACGAAATAGGAGCCTAAAAAGGGCGAAAGGTATATTTTATTTTTGAGACTTGTTGATGAGTTAGTTTTATGTAGGTCAGTGAGGAAACCAGTTTAAAGTGAAGTATGTAATAGTCAAGTTCAGAACGTGGATGTCAATAGACTATAACTAGTTTTTTGAGACATATGATATTTGCTATTTTGTTATAAACGGCCTGTATTGAGTTTTAGCGACGGGAACTGGTTTACTAAAATTGAAACGACGTGAAGCGAGAATTAGAATTTGATTTTTGTAGAGTGGGCGTTTTGAATTTGAGTAAATAGCGAAGTGATTTCTTTGGAGTGTGTATTTCTTGGAAGATTTCCATTTATTACCCATCCAAAGATTGTATTAAAGAGAGTGGGAAGATTGTCGTCTAATTTTATAAGACCTGGTTGCAGAAATTCATAATAACAGTGAGCTCCTGTTAAGATTTCGAAGTTTGATTTTTGGCAAAAAAAAATTTGTCAGCTAGATCGAGATTTTTGGGTATATTAAGTACATCGGGATTGATGTCGAATTGTAAGAGCGGAGAAATTATCGTTGGGACGACTGCACAATTCAAATTGAAGTTACATTTTTAACCGGGCGTATAGAGAATACTCTTCACTTTTGATCGCGAAGTAAAAATTGCGAAATTCCATGAATCTGTAAATTATTGCGGGAAATTTCAGTGTTTAATTTACTAGAGAGATCTTGGGTTATGAAGGAAGTTTGACTTCCGGCATTGAGTAGAGCTTTAGTTAAAATGTTATTGCCTGCCTTGTCTATTAAAGTGACTTGGACAGTGGCTAAAAGAGTTCTAGAATGAGTATATGATTCGGTTGTAGGGAGTAGGGTGATGTTAGAGTGCCTGTCGTCATCTTCCAGAGGGTTGTTTGGAAAAGATGTTTGGCATTATTTGCCTGAGGTGAATCATTAGCGATTGGAGTGTTTTTATGCTGGTATGAAAGACCGGGAGAATTTGCTCTTTGTGATTGAGCGTTTGCATTATTAGAGGAATGATGAGACTTGTAACATTTACTTCTGTTACTATTGTGTTGGGAGAGTTGTTAAAATGATTAGAGTTGCTGTGCGATAATTATCTGAATGAGAAATGTGATTAGCTCGAGATTGATTCGTGTTCTCTGCATAAGAATTTTGATGCAGCAGAGTATGATGCTTTTTGGAGCATATTGAACAGCTGCGAGAGGGACAATCAGCATGATTGTCTCTTGTACCCAGACAAAGTTCTAGGTATACAAAAAACTTGTTTTTGTAACGAATTAGCGAGCAGCAAAAAACATTTATGACCAGTTGTGGTCGTTTTTTTATTTTGAGAAGAGGATAATTGGCGGTAAAATAATATCTGAATGTGTTTAGATATTAAAATAAGCAACCTGATTTAGCGAGAGTCAACGGAAAGTGGACGAGACAAAAAACTCGTTTTATTTAAGTTGAGATATATCGAAAATAATTAACTCTATTTTCTTGTTTTCTTAATAATTGTAACAGAATAATGAGGGATTATTAGGGATATGTTAAGACTTTAACAGTCAGAAATACGTATTTACGGTTGCCTCCCATCTTATATATCATTGCTTTTCTTTCCTTGTTGCGCGTGCTATGCCGGTATATTTTTTACCTATATATTTAAGTGATTTTTTTAATATGTTATATCCTTATTCCTTGACAATATCGTTATAATAATATGGTTGATAAACAGGTAAATTTTCATTGTATACCGGGTGTACGAATTAAACTGTTTTTTTTTCTTAAAGTTTGCATCACCCTGTGGAATATTCTAATATTTATAAAATATTAAAATTAAAACCTAACTATATATAGCCTCATGTTTTCTCAACCTTTTGTTTTTTGATTCATTCGCTTATGTTGGAAAATACAAAAGTTAGATAGTTTAACAACTAGCCATGTTTTTCATCAATACAGACAATTTAAATCACCAGCAACATTAACCCCACCACCTTTATTATTGTTTTGTTTACATTACCTGTGACAGTTTGTTTCCTAAATTTGTGTAATCGAAGGATGTTTGACATATAGTCGTTGTACGACATTGTTGCAAATCTGTTTACATGTTAATAACAATTCTTGAATAATTTGTAATTAAAATTAAATTTGTAATTAAAATTAATAATTAAAATTGTAATTTTATATTGTGAGCGAATATTGTTTAAGTTGAAATTTTGGTGCCTATTTATTGTTGGTGATTTTAAAAATGCCACTCTTTCCAACTGATGCTACTAAGACAATGGCTTTTGGTTAATGCTGGTTACAGTCAACGTTATATCGCTGGTATACTCGATGTACTCAGAACTACGGTACAAGATGCCATCATGCTACGGTACCCGTGAGTACCTTAATGAGGCCGGGATTCAAGTTCTACCATAGCCAGAATACAGTCCCGATCTTAACCCAATTGAGCATATCTGAGACAACCTCAAAAGACGGGTAAGAGCAAGAGTACCGGCCCCTGCATCCTTTGCAAAGCTGAAGACAGCTGTGGAAGGAGTGGCATAATATCCCCCAATCTGATATCTAGGATATCATGAATGCATTGCCAAACCGGCTCCTAGAATTCCTAAGGGCTAGAGGCGGCAACACCCATTATTGATACCCATTTTTTTTTCAATTAGACTTTGATTTCCAAGACTTTGTTAATTTGAATTTTCTTCGAAGATTTTATATTCATTGGATTTTTACTGTAACAAATGACTTTTTTTCAAAAAGATTATTTTTCCTCTTCCGCGGAGATAAAAATTGATAAAAAACATGTCTAGTTGTTAAAGCAACTATCTTTTAAATCAATTAAAAACAAAATATTGAGAAAGAATGAGGCTATAGTTACGATTTAATTTCAATATTCTACAAGTGCTAGAAT